GTCAGACACACACATGGGCCAGGGTCAGACACACACATGGGCCAGGGCCAGACACACACATGGGCCAGGGCCAGACACACACCTGGACCAGGGTCAGACACACATGTGGACCAGGGCCAAGCACACATCTGGGCACATGGATGGAAGAAAATTCCTCCTGATGGCAGCAACTCGGTTTGATGCTTTGAAGAAGAGCCAAAAATGAATGTGTAAATAGTTATTATACAAATTACATCAATTAACGTCAACTCAATACTTAAACTAACTTTTGTTAATTGTAACTGTAATTGTTATACAAAATGTCTAAAGAATACTTGTGGAGGCCTTTTGGGACCACTTCTAGGAATTTGGCAAGAATTTGACATTGGGCGGGGACAACAAAGGAGGCTCAAGGCAAGTACAGCTGAGGAATGTATTCCTTGTATTTTGGTCATCCTGATAAACCACTAGACACAGTGACCACGGGACTTTGCTTATTGTCTTGTCTGATTACTTCAATTTTTGTCTTGTTTGTTCCTTGACTACTTTGTTTATGTCTTAGGACTGACCATATTCTTTGCATGTACCTAGAATGATATAAAAGCAGACTGGAAAAAAAAATAAACCCGCCTCAGCCTCAGCACTGGCTGGGGTCATGCTACAGTGTTGTCTAATTGTCTTTTTCTTTTCAATCCTTGCTCTCTCCCTGGAGAACCCATTGACTGACTCAGCTGGCTTCGTCAAATACTTAAAATACAGATGTTAAACATCAGGGCTCCACTGTGATTTGTCAAAAGCTTGGAAGTCACTGTAACCACCCTTGCAACAAGTAAACAGCTCAACAGACAGGCAACAACTCTTGGGTACATCAAAGAACCGTGGTGATAGGGTAATCTCTGGCCCTAAGCTGCAGACAGAAGATGGGCAGGAAAAGAGATCCACAGCTTACCTGTGCATGGCCACAGCCCAGAGCAGTGAGGCTGGCTGCTGAGCTAGAACTCTCAGAGCCTCAGCCTCAGGGATGGCCTTGCACTTCCTTGAAGGTTTTTTTTTTAATTGATTTATTTATGTGTATGAGTGCTTTGTTTGAATGTGTGTTTGTATGCCATGTATGTACCTGATGTCCACAGCAGCCAGAAGAGGGAGTTGGATCCCCTGAGACTGGAGTTATAGACAGCTGGAAGCCACCATATGGGCATGAGGAATTGAACTTGCATCCTCTGGAGCTCTAACTGCTGAGCGGTCTCTGTTGTTCCATTTCCTTGAGTCATACCACCTTGAAAACCCCACCCACTGCTGGGGAGTGGGGAGTAAATCGACCAATGTGAGATCACTCAGTGCACTGTTAACCAGACCTACCATTAAAGGCATGACTGTACTGGAACATAAAATAGCAAGATTTCGTTTTGCTTGCTGTGTTGTTTCTGGTTTTGTTTGTTTTTCTTAAACCTATGCTCCAACAAGCCTTGCAGAAGAGAAACAGTCAGTTCAGGTTCATTAAAACACTGATCATGAGACTAAAAATGTTGTTTTCTTCCCACATAATGAGGTTTAACAAGAGCGTCAAGCCTTCCATACAACCGAAGCGACTTTAGGAAAACCAATAACATCAAAGACAGAAAGAAGAGCATAGAGAAAAATCTCGTCTCTACTGCCACAGTAAGTTCAAAATCGCTGAGTCAGCTAAGCAGAGCTCACAGTTTGATCCACCACAGTCTCTGTTACCATGCACATCAAGTCTTGTTTTCAACTAAAATTTATAACACATGCAGCACAGTCCAGACTTCAAAGCAGCACCTGAACCAGAGATGACAGGAGTGCTGGCACTGCCAAGATGACAAGCTTATGGTGACTGCATTTAATAATTAAAAGCTCCAGCTTTGAAAACTGGATGACAGCCGAGCACTGGAGGTGCACGCCTTTCATCCCAGCATGCAGGAGGCAGAGGCTGGTGGATCTCTGAGTTTGAGGCCAGCCTGGTCTACAGAGTGAGTTCCAGGTCAGTTGGAGCTACACAGAGAAACCGAGTCTTGAAAACAATAACATCAGGGTTTCCGACTGCCCGTGAGTACGATTGGTGGCCACACACTGGGACCAGCTTCATGGAGACAGATCAGCTTTACTTGGGATGAATCAGGGTTTATGTAGTTTGGGGGAAAGGAGGGGATATCCAGGGTAGGCAAAGGTCACTGGCTGAAGGCTGAGGGTACCGGAATGCTTTATTAGCATCGTGAGGCATTCCAGTAGTCCCAGATGCTAGCTAAACAGGTTCTTACTGGGAGAAAGGGCGCTGAACCAGCAATCTTAACCAAGGCTATGTGACATTCCAAAGGCGTAGGTGTGTGTGGGGGGTGGGGGGTTCAAGCTCCCCAGACAAGGTCAAAGCAGGAGAAGCCCTGCTGGCAAAGGGAGCCAGCCATTTTACTCTGAGCTCAAAAGGCTAGTCAGACAATGGTAGACTTTGACCTTAATCAGCCAGGGCAACAATAAACATCAGAATTATAAAGCAAGCACAGAGAAGAAAATGCCAAGGAAGAATCAACTGGAAATATGAGGGGGAAAAAAAAACCCAGTATCTCAGACAGGAAGAGCATCTGAGGAGTTTATCTAGAATACACACTGATGAGGAGAGACCCATGGGGCTGAGCCTGAAGAGAGATCAGTGGAAGCTTCAAAACTGAAATGCAGAGAGAGAGAAGGACAGTCTCTCATGGCCCAGGGACAAGAGTGAAGGTGGCCCTGTGCAGGAGGGACAGAGCAGAAGGGACAGACTGGAGCAGAAGCAGTTACCTGTCAAAAGGAAAAAAAAGAAAGGTTGGTAGGCTTCAGTTTTTCCAAACCTGCTTTAATAAGGATTCTTAAAGGCTTCAACCTCTGTTCTAGCCCACCACCCACCAGAGGCCGTGGAAAAGAAAGGTTATTAGGATACGGGGGAAGTGGACCTCTTTGGAAATAGTTTTGGGTGGGGGGCAATTCCAATCATCTTTGTCAGGATATCAGCAGTTCAGTCCACAAGCAAACACCAAACACGAATCAGCAGCTGCAGTCCAGTGCACTCGGCAGACCACAGGAGAAGCAGCAGCAGCAGCTCAACTCACTGGACCTGTGAGAGTCTGTGAAAGCAGCAAGAAGCTGCCAGAATATCATAAATCCTTTGGTGAGTTATGAAGTTAGGATCAAGTGAAGACCAGCAATGAGATGGAAGGTGAACCAGAACAAGAGCATCACTGGCAGAGACCAGCGAGGCAGAGCAAGGCAAACCCATGCGCCAGCTTCCCCACTGTCTGCGGGGTCCTATTTATATTCTTTCAAATGTCACAGATCCTCTCATATGTCTGCTTCAGCAAAACCTCCTTTCACCTGTCTGCTCCAGCAAAACACATGATATAACTGAGTTCCCAAAGAAACCAGAAGTTTCCACTTCAAAGGTTTCCTAAGTTATTTGTTTCAAATGGACCCGCTTTGCAAGAAGTGTCAAAAGAAGTTCTTTTAAAAGAAGAAAATCTGTATAGGTTAAAAACTCTCTGCATAAAGGAAGGAAGAACATTAGGGAAGGAATAAAAAGATAATATATTTTATTTTATCTTAATTTTGTTAATATTCTACAGTGCTTGCAGTACTCAGGCAGCAGCCTGATACTATGACCAGGAAGTGGGTTCTTATTAGCTGTAATGAACATTGACAACTTGGAAAAATAACTTTCTAGAAAATTATAATTAATATGTTGAGAGAACAAAAAATTGAACATCGGGAAAACAAGTAAATCAATAAAATCTCAGCTGCAGCAGAGAAGGGAGAAAGATCGAGGCCCATGGGGCACTGACTTCCTCAGGGATTTTGTGAAACAGATACAGTTCACAGCCTCTGTGTAGGGTGCTGTGGGCACGGTGCCAGGGACATTCTATCTAGCAAGACATGGCAAGCCACACCTTGAGGGTCGGAGGGACAGCCTGGAGGGAGCAAGAGCTTTACCTCCAAATGCAAAATAACGACAAGCGCCCGAGAGTCCCTTCTTTAGAGGAAAGGGAACCTTCAAAGTATGTCAGCTGATAAAGTTCCCTGTTTAAAGTTCTAAACTACTTGGAGAATCTGGTATGACAATTGTATCTTTGATAAGACCTCTTGGGACTGTGCGGGACTGTAGGGCACAGTTTCTAGTCTGGGTTATAGTCCTTGGAGTACCTTAGTTGTGTGGGTCACAAAGGACCATCCCAGGTCTTCGCTTACAAGTTGTCTGGTTCTCCTTTGCCTGTGACAGAGCGTTTCCCTTTCTAAGCACCGTTCATTTCTTTTGGCTCTAACAGTCTTCATCAAGGGTAGTCTGTAGCACAAGTCCAAATTAAAATCATCAAGGTGTCTGGAAGGCTTGCATGGAATGGATCAAGTCACCTGAAATGCTAACCCTCGTCATGTGGGTCCCGTGGGTGCTGCTGTGTACAGACCAGTGCTTCTGTAGTTCCATCATGGCTGGGAATGGAGGCAGAGGGCTCTTCTGTGTTTATTACACTAGGAATAGTCACACCCCTAGTCATCCAACGAATAGGTCTGCTAAGCAGATATGGTGGGCCTGCAAGGGATATCTGTTGAAAGATTACACATGCTTTTTCCTTATGGAGTGTGACAGGCAACAATCTTTAATTCTTCCAGCCTATCATAGACAGTATTCTAAGGGGACGCAGACTATTCAACACCTCAGGCACTCAGCTTCTCGTGTTAGTTAATGTTAGCTTAAAGAAATCCTGCAAAAGAAAAAAAAATGTGTGAAACTAAGATGCATAGAAAAATAAATCCAAACAATAGTCATAAAAAATAAAAAGAACATTAAAAATGAATAAACAAACACGTGAAACATGGCATCCGAAATGTTCAGGGCATTAGGAAGTTAACCTAAGAGGTGGGGGATGGGAGAGGGTGCCTGTCAGGGTTCACTGTGGGTCGGTGGGAGGGGGAGAATAAGATAAGCAGCTTGAGAGAGTCAGGCCCACTTCCCTGTCCCTACCCTCTCTGGGAAACCAGGTTAAGGTGGAAGATAATGAAGGCACCTTCGCTGGCTTCCTTGAGTACTGGGCTGATTGTTGACATGTACACTACGTTCTGTGACTGGACTGCTCTGGAAGTGGCTTGTTAAACACTAACATGGAAATCAGTCAGAATCTCCAGTTCATCAGTGTCTGTACGGAGAGGGCTTGGTGTGCAGCTCTGTCACATACTCACAGCATAGAGGAGTTTAGAAAGCTTGCAATTCTTCCTGAGAGGAATCCCTTATTGGGAGACGGTAGCATCAACCAGAAGACAAGCTGTTCCTACCCTTTGGTTTGGTGGTGAGGCATGGGTGTGTGAGTGGGGATGTGGTTTGGGTCTGTGTAGATTTGCCTGTGAGAGGGTATGCAGTCAAAGGGAGTCTCACAAGCAGACTTACCTGGTGCTCGGCAGCATGAGGATCTGAGTGTGGACTGGAAGCTGCTATCCTGGAAAACAAGAGACATGTTAGGCACTGATCCCTGTCTCTCCTCCTTGGCAGAGGAGACAGACACAGAGAGACTGAACATTCTCCTAACTGGAGGGTGACAAGTTGGTGGCAGGGAGAGTTGGGGCCTTGGACTGGAAGGTTAGGATAGAGGTGGGAAGGCAAGAGCTGAAGGCAGACAATCAGGGGGACTGACTCTGGATGCTGTGAGGAGACACATTCTTCTTCAAAGACAGAGCGGAGCCAGTGGAAGGCTTAAGCAAGTTTGTGAAAGATGATGTACCTGTATAAGACAAAGACAAGAGAGAGAGTGACGTGCCCGTCGCAGACACCAGGCATTACTATGTGACAGACAGCCACAAAGCAGCTCTGCATAACAGAGGCAAAAATTACCTGTGAACATTTTTCTTTCCACTTCTTCTTGAATTTTCAGAAGAATCCGCTCTTGTTCCAAGGCTTCTATGTACTTTGAATAGCACCAGGTTGGCTAAAAAAAATTTTTTTTCAAAATTAATTATGAAAAAAATTCCCAGATTTCCCTCAAGAAAAAAATAGAAGGTAACATAAGTCTTAATATTTTTTCATTTAAACTTTTAATTCACGTATAACACATTTTAAGAAAAGTATATCTTAGCCAGGTATGGCGGCCGATGCATGTGATTCCAGCGTGAATGAGTCTGAGGGAAGAGGATTAGCATAACTTTTAGGCTAGCATGGGCTACATATAAAGTCAGGCCGGCCTGAACTGTGCAGAAATATTCTGTTTCAAAAACAAAACAAATCAAAATAAAAAGGGGAATATATTTGAGATTTTTCGATCATATGTCTCAAATGACAATACAGATTTTCACAAACAATGTGTATACATCTTAATCTCTCTGTGTGCCACAATCATTACCAACCTACTTCACTTTCATAGGACTATGTACTATGTAACAAGGCTACTTCTTTCTGTAGCCTTGATCACTGCCTGAGAGAGAATGTAAGGATGCTGATTGGTACAGCAGCAGTGACTCAGTTACTGTCATAGTGATTATGAACTTAGTGCTTACAAAATACCCAAGATTACCTAGGGGGTGATGATTTGGCATTTAGACCGACTACTGAATAATAATTGATAATTATTCCCTAATTTCTAGAGTGCCAACATATGTACTTTAAAAAGCAATGTGTATATATGTATTTTCAAGCTTTTGATTTCTAGAAGCTTTCGAGTTTCCAACAGAAATCTTAAGCTACAGACAGGACATGATTATTATCAGAGCCGCTATCACAATCACCATCATCACCACCTTCATCACCACCATCACCACCACCATCATCACCATCATTACTCTTTCTCTCCTTTAGCAGTACAAAAAGAGATTATAAGCCTCTTTGCAGGCTTCAAGGTAATACTGACTCCTGAGGACAGAGCACAGATCAGAACATCAAACCTGTGTCCGCGTCTCCTAGGTTATGTGTGTGCTGTGATTCTGACAGGCTATGCCAATACTTTGCTGATGCCTGGACCGAGTTTCACTCTAGAAACTCCACGGTAGAGCGAGCTCTGTCAGTATGGTTTCTACAAAACCAGCCATTTCTCTTCTTTTGTGAGCGTTTTACCGTTTCTCAGTTGCTAACAGCGTTTTTAGCATTTCTAAGTGCAGAAAAGTTTGTTTTATGAATTGGTACTGTCCTAAGATGCACATGTTTTTCAATACAAGTCATCAAAAATGAATATAAATTAAACCCATGATGTTTCAGAGAATTGGTGTGAAGGAGCTCATTGTAAACATAAGAACGCAATGTCGTAGTTGGTGGGTATGCACAACAAAGAATTAAGAAACACACTGAGCATTTAGCATTCACTGTCTTCAAGTTAAACCTTCGTGAGCTAGGGAAGAACTCTGGTGGATCACGTGCCTAGTATCTACGAGGTCCTAAATTTCAATCCCAGCATGCTCTGAGGGGAAAAAAAACCCTCCAAACCCAAAAAATACACCTTTCCTTTATTACATTGTCCATAATTGGGTCATCCCATCTTCTCCCTGGAGACTACTGTCTTTGCCTGTACTCTGAGCAGACACACTGTGGTGCTCCATAAGCCCATTCCAATCACAACCCCCTGTAGCTGTGACCACTGCCCACTCACTGCTCTAGAGAGGAGGGTACCCTAGAGTCTTACCTGTCGGCCATAGGACTGCAGGACTAGGAGAGACTCACTGCCTAAGGCAGGTTTCGTAAGAGAACCTGTAGTACTTGCATACTGCTTGACTCCAGTCTGTAAGTAAGAAACCAAGTTACTCCAAAATGGGTAATGTGACCTTAGGAGGTTATGACAGCACCACACAAGGGCATAGTTCAACCACAGCTGAAGCCTCAAGCCAGTGTCGAGTTCACCTTTCACTCTGCATGTTAATATAAAACCACTGAATGATAAATGAGATGAAAATGACGTAGAATATAAAAACCCAAGCCTCAGAGGACTACTGATAGTCGTCATGAGCATATATCCAGATTTCCACCAAGGAGAACTCATGGGCATAGAATTATACACACAAAGCCGGGCGTTGGTGGCGCACGCCTTTAATCCCAGCACTTGGGAGGCAGAGGCAGGCGGATTTCTGAGTTCGAGGCCAGCCTGGTCTACAGAGTGAGTTCCAGGACAGCCAGGGCTACACAGAGAAACCCTGTCTCGAAAAGCCAAAAAAAAAAAAAAAAAAAAAAAAGAATTATACACACAAATGGAAGCAAGGTGTATGTGCTTGTTTTCATGTAGGTATACCAGGCAAAAATGTTTCAATATGAGGAAATACAGAACTGGAGGTAGGCAGGGCCTTGTATGGCTTAACTGCTAGGTGTTTGCTGAACAGCATCTCCCACAGGAGGCCCAGCAGCACGTGATGTGTGGTGACACGAATACTCCGTGTGTATACTGTAGTGGCTGAATGGTCTCACGCACTCAGATATTTGATGGATGAGTGATAAAGTAACCATGCTGTTCCGTTCAATGGATGGGTAGAGGATACATAATACCGACCTTCATTCTTTCAAGTAGAAACCAAGGTCATTTCCAAATTTGTACATTAGAAATTAACCAAAATACACAAATCTATGTTCATTTCTGTGATGAGTACTTCATGGATTATTATTTCCTACATACATGCTACCTGAATTAGAAAGAATGAACATCTTAATGTATGTTGTCAAAAATGTGTGTCTGTGCATGCATGTGTGTGCGTGTGGTGTGTTTTCATAAACGTGTGGGTGTGTCTGCATATGGAGGCCAGAGAACAACCTTGGGCATAGCTCGTCAAAGCCTCGTTTTATGAGACAAAGTCTGTCATCTCTCCTGTCTCTGTCTCCCAGCTCGGGGGTGACATGAACGTGCCCAGCTTATTCTCAAGGTGCTGGGGTCAAGCTCACAGCGAACAGCACCTCACTGACTTAGTTACATCGATGTGACAGTACTTCTACGATCTGGTGCTGAACTGGATGTTAAACTGGACAGAGCATTCCCTAAGGTCCTCCTCCTCTTCTTCCCGTCACATGCTTCACATGATTTCTCCACTGAATTCCCATCAAGGACGGAAGTGGAGGAGACAGTGACGCCATTCTGATATAAAGATCACTCTCTGTGCCTGCTGAGACAACCATCTTTACGTGTGACTTGCTGGGCTGCAGATGTCCTTTTCTACCTTTGCTCTGGGATGTGAGTGCTATGATTCTCTCTATTTGCTGACAAAATGAGACTTGGGGAAGTGACTGTTTTGCTAAGAGAACAGATCTGGGGCCAGAGGGAGGGTGCTAGCTGCTCTCTAGATGACCCAAGCTCTCAGCACCCAGGTGGGTGGTTCAAAATAGACTGTAACTCCAACCGTAGGAACTCTCTACCCTTCTTCTAGTCTTCACAGGGACCTGCATACATGTGACATGTGTACAGACATACATAGAAAAAATTAAAAATAAAAGGAAAACAGAGCCAATGGAATAGAATGAATGATAGGGCTAGGATCCAAAGCCAGGAAGTCCCAAGAGGAGGCTCCTTACCCACTGTGCTGACCAATGAACAAATACCTCACAAAACCAAATGAGCAAATACCTCACTGTCACATGGTTGAATAGTCTTTCATACATGCACGCCAGTTAATTATCTTACATGCTTAAGTCATATAAGATACATACTATTACCATCAGTTGATAAATGAAATGGACATTCTGGTTGAGTGCCACGCCCACAGAGATAGGAGGCAAGCTCACAAAGATAGGAGCCACGCCCACAGAGATGGGAGCCACGCCCACAGAGACGGGAGCCATGCCCACAGAGAAGTCTTTTTTTTTTTTTTTTTTTTTTGTTTTGTTGGTTTTTTGAGACAGGATTTCTCTGTGTAGCCCTGGCTGTCCTGGAACTCACTCTGTAGACCAGGCTGGCCTCGAACTCAGAAATCCGCCTGCCTCTGCCTCCCAAGTGCTGGGATTACAGGCGTGCGCCACCACTGCCTGGCCCACTGACAGAATTTAAACAAATATCTGCTATAACTATATTGGTTTCCTTACATTTCGATATTAAAATAAAGTGTGAAGTTTTCAGTTATAATGAGTGGTAACAATGTATTTGCCATATATTGTAAGAGTATTAACAAAAGCTGGGGGTTTAGTGGGTAAACGTTCTTGTCACACAAGCCTGGTGACCTGAGTCTGACCTTTGGGACTCGAATGGTGAAAGGAGAGAACCTACCCTCTGACCTCCACACACATACTGTGGGGTAAAAGCTAGGTGTGGTCAGGTACCCTTAACCCCATCAGCACTGTGGCCATGGAGACCAGAGGATCACTGGCCCACGATAGTTCCCAGTTTAGGGTGGGATCTTGTCTCACAGGAATAGAGGACAATAGAGCAGGAGTTCCCGCTCTGACTTCTGCATGTGTGTGCACAGCCACCACACACGCACATATGCATCCCTCTGTCTCTGTCTGTCTCTGTCACACACACACACACACACACACACACACACACACACACACATACACACACACGAGAAGCAGGATCACTCCAGTGAATGGAAACTGCTGGTGTTGTCTAGAGATGTCAACAAAAGCCTTCATGAAGAGAAGAACCTGGCTGACATCAATTCTGAGAAATCCAGCCAGCACAGTCTGGTGGCTGTGAAGGAAGGCTTTGTGGTCACTTCTGTAACTTCTGCACCCTTCCCCAGCCCACATTCATCGACCACACAACCCTCCTTATCTTTTTGAAGTGTGCTTACTCAGGTGGGTTTGGTCTTACCTTTCCAGTCTTTTCTTCTTCTATGTCTGACGCTTTCCTTTTCTGCTTATATTCTTGTCTTCTTTCTAAAACACTCATGATTTTTTCATCAGTTAAATTCTTCCTGAACTCACAAAACTGTGGCCAAAACTTAAACAGAACCCCAAAAATTGTCATCTGCACATAAAAAAGTAAGTCTCAGATTATGATTTTCTACATATGTATTGATTTAACTTTAATATGCTACAATAGAGGATTAACTTCTCTATCCTTAATCTACACCGGGTCTCCCTCCCATGCCTGGTCTGCAGTCTTCACAGCACAGTGAGCTTAGCACATGCTTCTTGGCAGGGTTTTTAACCATCACTGAACAGTCCTTTAAAACACTCACACAGTACACTTAAAAGCTCCTTTACCTTTGTGCTTCCCTAACCAACTGGTCACGTTAATAAAGACTCCACTAGGAGAAGATTTGATGTTCTCTTTGTAAATGACCCCAGTTGGTTAGCCATGCTCTGCAGTTTTGTGCAAATATTCCAAGTATCCAGTTCATCAAGAGAAGCTCCCCCACACCCGCCTCTGTCTTTTAGAGAAAGGAAATACCATTTTGCCTCTGGAAAAGCTCTTAAACAAAGCTGCGGATCTAAGAATAAATCTTGAGTAACTTTTAAATGATATAATCTCTCTTTTGTATGAGGGGGAGAAAAAGTTATCATTTAAAAAGCAAACCGGCATCCGAGACCAAGCTTAAGAGGACACCGAACATGAAGGGATTAATTATGATATTTACAGAGATAAGAGTAGCTGCTGTCATTCCTGTGCTCAAGTTTTACATTAGCTCCACAGGCAGATATTATTTCTAAGATAGGACTTGCCACATCAAATCAAGTCCAACATCTTATGGCTAAGAGTAGCTTTTACTTAATGCCTTGAAGAAAAATGAGCCGTCCCATTAGGCTCTGAGCCAACTCTTAGAGTAAAAGAGGAATTTTTTTCAAAGTCAATGTTTGAGTCCTGAATTAGCAAAAATCATTACTCATCTTTTCTAGGCACAAATATAGTTACTTGCTAAAATTATTTATTCCCTTTGAAGTACAATCTTGTTATTGAATTCTGTAGCTTCCTGGGAGCATAATGTAAAATTTGGAGAGCCCTGTCAAAGGATGCCTTAGTAGACAAAGCATTAAACAGATTGCAAATGACAACATTACACCCATGGTCCAATGCAGATCAGCCCTCCTCATCAGAGAGGCATCCATTCACAGTAGATGGGGCCAGCACAGAGCCGCACAACTGCCCAAGGTGCAGAGAGGAAGAAACTGAAATACTTATCCCTAAGTGAAGCATACATGCCGCACCCCCTCCTACAACAGCTCAGGAATCATTGCAGAAGAGGGAGGGGGAGAACATAAGAGCCAGAGGCAGTGGATTACTACAAGGAAACTGTCTTCCTGACAGAGCAGGGCAGCGGTGGCAGTATGCACAACATATGTGCAAGCCAACCCAGACCAAACTCAGGCATGAAGATGGGAGTTGGGCGCACAATCCCATCCCTGGAGGGATGCTACTGGCAACTGTTAGTGGCTGGGAGAGGGAGGGACAGCCTAAGAAGGCAGCCCCTGATAGGTTGGCTATATTTCAGCAGAAGGTCACACATCTAAGATTATTTGGGCAGCACAAATTTGGTCTTGATGGGTGAAAAAAATAGGAAAAAAGAAGAAAAGACACAAAGTTGGGTGGGTAGGCTGGATCTGAAAAGAGTTGAGTGGTCCTGTGTACAAGATAAAAGCATGTTGTATGAAACTCTTCAATACTTAGAGATAGATGATAGATAGAATATATACAGTATAGATATAGATAGATATAGATACAGATACAGATATAGATACAGATACAGATACATAGATACATAGATGATAGATAGATAGATAGATAGATAGATAGATAGATAGATAGATAGACAGATGATAGAATCTATGCCATAAGTCTCTTCAGCTTGAATGCCTGCCTTCCTCTGGTTGGCGTCTATAACCCTACTTCTCAGTTATCTCTGTAAAACCCGAGCATTCTCAGCTTAAATACCTGCATGCCCTACACCAGCCTTTCTCCAAACGTTACCTTATCAGGACCCACGTTTTCAATGGAAGGCATGAAAATGTTATAATCCTTCAAGAAGCAATTGAGATTTGAGTCTAATATTAAATTAATATATGTTCTCCTGTACCTATAGAACCTCAAAAGAAAACCAAATTTTAAGAAAAATACTGCCAGGGAGTGGTGGCACACGCCTTTAATCCCAGCACTTGGAAGGCAGAGGCAGATTTCTGAGTTCCAGGACAGCCAGGGCTACACAGAGAAACCCTGTCTCGAAAAAACAAAACAAAACAAACAAAAACAAGCACAAACAAGAAGAACACTGACATATATGGACTACCTTGCTCCCTGCCAGCAGACGAATAACATTTCTTTTGTCTTTTTTCTTTTTTCTTTTTTTGTTTTTTTTGAGACAGGGTTTCTCTGTGTAGCCCTGGCTGTCCTGGAACTCACTCTGTAGACCAGGCTGGCCTTGAACTCAGAAATCTGCCTGCCTCTGCTTCCCAAGTGCTGGGATTACAAGCGTGCGCCACCACCACCCGGCTGAATAACATTTCTTTATGAGTAAAGGGACCAGTAAGAGCCTGGCTGAGCAGGGAAACCTTCAGGCTATGGTAGTGGGTATGGGGAAAGACAAGAGGCTCTGCTGATCCAAGGCTAGACCAGCGGTTACTGCTTTGGCTTCACTTGGCTCTCATCTCCAAGCTGATCTAACACTATTGTGCCATGACAAATCTCATGTCCTTATGGTCAGAAATAACTACTCTGCATATAGACATGAAGACAGATAAGAAACACACACCACTCTCACAAACTCTACAACCCAGTAAGGCAGATCCGACGATAGCCACTTTGAACTGAGCGTTAGAAATCTTACGGCAGGGATGAACGCAAGGGAGAGAAGATGGGGCTTCACACAGCTCAGGACTAAAGAGAAAGGCCACTGGTGGGACTACAGCTACCTCAGTGGCCCTGGGGAAGAGAACACAGGGGTGTGGGCACTGAGAGAGGGAGCCATGAGGCAAACTTTGCACTATGTAGCAGGGAGGCAGTGAAGCACTTTAAGCAGAGAATGGCATGGTCAAACACTATTTTGAGAAAAAAGTGTTTTTCTTGCAGTTCATTTATGGAGTAAGCCCAGAGACAGGAGCTTTGGTGACTGGAAAAGGTTTTGCAGATCTGAAGTGGCATGGAGGTGAGGAAAAACAGATAGTCTGTCACAAGGAGGCATATGATGACATTTTAAGAATTGATCAAACACCAGGCTAAGGAAGCAAAGGAGAGGGAGAGCAAACATCTCTGGTTTGCATCTCTGGGGTAAGGGATGCCACACTCAGAGCTGCTTCTACACAGACAGGAATAATTATAGATCTGGAGGAAAGAGGCCCTCAAATGATGGTTCTCTGTTTATGCTACCTCAGGAAATCAGGCATTGTACTAAGACAGGGATCCCTGGCAGATGAGCCTCTTTGGACCCCTCTGCTCAGACAAAAGATCACTGAGGCGTGTGCCTTGCTCTGGTTTGCCAGGACTGCAAGGCGAGGCTGAGTCCTAAGATCAGTCACTGCAGATGCTACGGTTCTGGCGCCATGTTTTCTGTTTCTCTCTTGCACAACCTCATCACTCCTCTGCAGGTTTTAATGCATAATTAGGATTGTGAGTCCACTCTCAGTCCCTCAGAGGACTTGAACAGAGTGGCTCACAGTGAACAGTAAGGGACAACGTTTTTTCCATGCTCCAGGGCGGTCACAGTCACACTCCAGATCTGGTTCATATCACTTCGCTTGTGATGGGTCTTTCTCATTACCCCAGTTAGAACTTATTTTTCTTAATCACTTTTTAGGAACAACATCACTAAAAGAGTTTTCTTTTTTCTTCTTCTTTTTTTTTTTTTTTGGTTTTTTGGTTTTTTCGAGACAGGGTTTCTCTGTGTAGTCCTGGCTGTCCTAGAACTCACTTGGTAGACCAGGCTGGCCTCCAACTCAGAAATCCACCTGCCTCTGCCTCCCAAGTGCTGGGATTAAAGACATGCGCCACCACCGCCCGGCTAAGAGTTTTCAAATTACAAATAAATTGTGTGTATCAAGCCAGTGTTTCCTATTATTTATCTTAAAAAGAAGTGCTATAAACAAGTTCAAAAGAGACAGACTTCCCTTCACCATGTGCTGGCTGAGGCTATCCCACTTGAGTGTCATCTCACTTATTTTATGAGCTATGTGGATATTTCAATCTTTAAAAATATACAAATTATAAGACACAAGTATTTATACGTCTTTGTGGCAGCAGATACTTTAAAGGGGATGTGACTAGTGGGAAAGGAGAGGACTTACAGGGAGTATTTTTATAATTTGTAGGTAAAAACGGTAACTGCGAAAGCCAAAGCACAGCATTTGATCTTACTTATGGCATTACAAGAAAAGCAGTGCGGAAGTCACTAGTTTTGTATATTTTAGTGGTGTAGGCAAAAGATGTCTACATTAAAGGAAGCAAACCGTAGTGCCAGGAACATTAAGCTCTTCTCGTGCATGAATGAAGTCAGGGCTCTAAAAGACCACCTTGGCTGCTGCTGTGCTTCAACACGGCTCAGCCACTGTTTGTCCCTCCTACCTGTGCCTCTCGGAACACGTACGGCCCCAGCTCCTTCCTGTGTTCAATGATCTTCTGGGCTTGCTCAACTGGAATATCAATCTGTAAAGCTGGTGGGATGCAGGAATTAATGAAGCAGTTGATGATGGTTGTAATCTTCTTATGGATGATAGATTCATCACAATGTGAGTGGCACAAATCCTGAACAAAACAGAATAGGATTGTGCTTTATCAGAGTATATACGGTATACACTCTCTAGCATTGGCTTGTGAGGAAGGGCCTGCAACACCTCAGAACTATCCAAAGCCCTTTCCTTCAGGGTCAGGAGCCTAACGCTCTGCCTTGCTGTCATTTAATTCTGTCACTTGTGTCCCTAGGCAGGGACAGTGTTAGCACCTAGTATGAATCCTTAACAGCTATGCCAGACACTGAACCAGCATCAGTCTCCAGGGAAGAGATACACAAAAGACACACTCAAAGGCCGGGACCTAGTCCTCGCAGAACACTGGGAATATGCTTCTAACAGGCTATGGGTAGATATAAGCTCTCTGTCCTTACTGCTGCCATGGAGAACTAGGTCTGCCTGCTGTTGGTAGACAAGAATGTCCTTACAATGACTTACTGTGCACCCTACTCTAGTCACTCCATCTGCACGAGTCACTCTTACAACCCTGTGAGCAGACACAAGAAACTTGCTGGGGAGGGGAGCCTCCATGTGGTGTACAGCTACAGAGGTTCAAGATCGCACGCAGCCCTTGGCTCAGCGGAGTCTGGTTGCCTGTGAAGCAGAGCCCCATGGATAGGAAGCAGGAGAGAGAGGGAGGAGGTTCGAGGTTCATATCAACAGATGTCCTTCAAGGTCAGACCCTAGTAACCCATCCTCAGCGAGGGCCCCGCCTCTGCTTCTCAAAACAAGTCCTCCAACTGCTGAGCAACTACTTACCTTCACTCCTCGAGCCCATGTGGCCATTTTAAAGCTCAACCATCAGCTCCTTAGTCCTTTTAGAAGGATTTTTAAAGTAACGGGAGTACATTAAAATATACTATCTAGTTTTAAAGTTCTAGGGGTTTTTTAAGTTTAATTTTTTTTTAAAAAATTATTGGATATTTTCTTTATTTATATTTCAAACATTATCCGCTTGCCCTGTTTCCCCCTCCAAACACCCCCTACCCCATCCTCCCTCCCCCTGCTTCTATGAGGGTGCTTCCCCACCCACCCACCCGCTCCCGCTTCCCATCCTGGCATTCCCCTACACTGGGGCATTGAGCCTTCACAGGACCAAGGGTCTCTTCTCCTCTGCTGCATATGCAGCTGGATCCATGGATACTCTTTGGTTGGTGGTTTAGTCCCTGGGAGATCTGGGGGGTCTGGTTGGTTGATATTATTGTTCTTCCTATGGGATTGCAAACTCCTTCAGCTCCTTCAGTCTTTTCACTAACTCCTCCATTGGGGGCCCTGTGCTCAGTTCAATAGTTGGCTTTGAGCATCCACCTCTGTATATGTCAGGCTCTGGCAGACCTCTCAGGAGACAGCTATATCAGGCTCCTGCCAGCAAGCACTTCTTGGCATCCGCCTTAGTCTCTGGGTTTGGTGACTGTATATGGGATGGATTCCCAGGTGGGGCAGTCTCTGGATGGCCTTTCCTTCAGTCTCTGTCCCACACTTTGTTTCCATATTTCCTCCCAGGAGTATTTTGTTCCCCATTCTTAAAAGGACTGAATCATCCACACTTTGGTCTTCCTTTTCATGAGCTTCATGTGGTCTGTGAATTGTATCTTGGGTATTCTGAGGTTTGGGGCTAATATCCACTTATCAGTGAGTGTATACCATGTGTGTTCTTTAGTATTGGGTGACCTCACTCAGGATATTTTCTACTTCCATCCATGTGCATTAGAATTTCATGAATTCATCATTTTTAATGGCTGAGTAGTACTCCATTGTTTAAATGTACCACAGTTTCTGTATCTATTCCTCTGTTGAAGGACATTTGGGTTCTTTCCAGCTTCCGGCTATTATAAATAAGGCTGCTATGAACATAGTGGAGCATGTATCCTTGTTATATGTTGGAGAATCTTCTGGGTATATGCCCAGGAGTGGTATAGCTGGGTCCTCAGGTAATACTATGTCCAATTTTCTGAGGAACCACCAGATTGATTTCCAGAGTGGTTGGACCAGCTTGTAATATCACCAACAATGGAGGAATATTCCTCTTTCTCCACATCCTCACCAACATCTGCTGTCACCTGAGGTTTTGATCTTAGCCATTCTGACTAGTGTGATGTGGAATCTCAGGTTTGTTTTGGTTTACATTTCCCTGATGACTAAGGATGTTGAACATTTCGTTAGGTGCTTCTTGGCCATTCAATATTCCTCAGGCGAAAATAATTTGTTTAACTCTGTACCCCATTTTTAAAAATAGGGTAATTTGATTCTCTGGAGTCTAACTTCTTGAGTTCTTTGTATATCTCGGATATTAGCCCTCTATCAGATGTAGGATTGGTAAAGATCTTTCCCCAATCTGTTGGTTGCAGTTTTGTCCTATTGTCAGTGTCCATTGCCTCACAGCTTTATAATTTTATGAGGTCCCATTTGTCAATTCTTGATCTTAGAGCATAAGCCATTGTCGTACTGTTCAGGAAAATTTCTCCTGTGCCCATGTGTTCGAGGTTCTTCCCCACTTTCTCCTCTATTAGTTTCAGTGTAGCTGGTTTCATGTGGAGGTCCTTGATCCACTTGGAATTGAGCTTTGTACAAGGAGATAAGTATGGATCAATTTGCATTCTTCTACACGCTGACCTCCAGTTAGACCAGCACCATTTGTTGAAAATGCTGTCTTTTTTCCACTGGATGGTTTTGACTCCTTCGTCAAAGATCAAGTGACCATAGGTATGGGGGTTCATTTCTGCGTCTTCAATTATATTCCAATGATCTTCTTGCCTGTCTCTGTACCAATTCCATCCAGTTTTTGTCACTATTGCTCTGCAATACAGCTTGAGGTCAGGGATGGTGATTACCCCAGAAGTTCTTTTACTGTTGAAATAGTTTTCAATATCCTGGGGTTTTTGTTATTTCAAATGAATTCGAGAATTTCTCTTTCTAACTCTATGAAGAATTGAGTTGGAATTTTGATGGGGATTGCATTGAATCTGTAGATTGCTTTTGGCAAGATGGCCATTTTTATTATATTAATCCTGCCAATCCATGAGCATGGGAGATCTTTCCATCTTCTCTGATCTTCCTCAATTTCTTTCTTCAGAGACCTGAAGTTCTTGTCATACAGATCTTTCTCTTGTTTGGTTAGATTCACACAAAGTATTTTATATTATCTGTGACTATTGTGAAGGGTGTCATTTCCATAATTTCTGTCTCAGCCTGTTTATTCTTTGAGTAGAGGAAGGCTACTGATCTGTTTGAGTTGATTTTATATCCAGCCACTTTGCTGAAGCTGTTTATCAGGTTTAGGAGTTCTCTGGTGGAAGTTTTGGGGTCACTTAAGTATACTCTGATATCATCTGCAAAGCAGCCATATTCTTATTCAAACTACCACAAGGCCAAAGGAGGAACATCACCACAAGTTTGAAGCTATATTGAGGAAGAGATATTAAAATGGAGACCAAGGAGAGCAATAAAACTAAATTCATGGTGTGTTGGAGAAAACTTTAATTTTACCCAAGCAACTATACTTTGAGCAACTCATTACTGTTGTTGAAGACACGCTTAACTTGTGAGCCAACAGAAACCATCATTTTCTCAACTCAGTGTACTCTCGTCCTGTACTTTTGCAATGAGACAGAATAAGCTGTTTGCTAGGGAATAAGCCCACTCCCCTGGAAGCATTTAGACATGGGCTGGGTATCTCTTAGGCAGGTCCAGACAGCAAAACAAAGAACACCAGCTCTTATTCACGGCAAAGACTACATGATTCCATAAAGACACAGCCTGAAACTAAGCTGCGTCTGCACCTAACTCATCCTTGACCTTCTTTGGCTCGGAATGTGGCCACTGTCTCTAGCCTCCCCTGTCTGTCAGGCCACCTATAACCTGGTGTCATGGTTATCATGGTACACTTTATTAGGAAGGATTCCTGTAGAAATGTCTTTCTTATATGGATACACCAATTAGGGATGTCTCTAGGAAAAATGTGTGTGGTCAGTTTATAGATGCATGAGATGGAGAACACCCTTCAGAGACGTACTCACTGGGCCACACTACAAGTTCTTGTCTCAGAAACACAAATACTATCATTTGAGGGCCTCACTCTTGCTCATCATCGTATATCAAGAAGTGTATCTAGACAGACAGTGGACAATAAATATATCAGTGTTTAAACGTTAGCATGAAGGAAATTGGCCATATTGGGGTGTTTTACACAATTCCATAAGCTACAGATATGAATATCCTATCTTAAGGCACCACCTCTTCAAACAGAAGTGGTTTTCTCCAGTTCAAATCATTACCTTAAATTTTTGTACTTCTTGCCAGAAAAGAACTCCGTTTTCCAATAAATCTCCTTTTAGGGCCACAAACCGTTGAAATTGCCTTGCAATGACTGGATTCAATAATGCTTTACGGAAAGCAATAATCTCACAGGATGAAGATATCCACTTACTCTCCACAGGCTGTCCAAATAATACAGGAAATCAGACATGCTCCAAAAGTAGCAATCAAGTCTTTAATTAGACTAAAACCACCAACTCCCATTTTTTGATTTGGCTACTGACGTGTGCTGTGGGTGTAATAGACATTGACAACCTTCCCCTCGGACCCTCTGCTTTTCCTCTCTTTTTTCCCGATAGCTCCACTATTTTTAGAGACTAAGAAGAAAAATTACTGACTGACTTACATGTAACTACATGTAACTACACTGTTAAGAAATTTTAATAGCCATTACAGTTTGGGACCAGTGAGAAAAGAGAACAGAATAATCATGATGCTACTGTTATAGTTACATTGTAATTTATCATGGCTGCATAATTTTTAACTATTTCTTTTATTCTTTGAGACTGTAATATTTTTAAGAAAAATAAAAACTTCTATAATTTAAGTGGAAAATTTACCTGAACTGTATCTTGGTAAGAGCATGTTTTTATATGGCATGTTTTTAACCCATTCAGTAAAGCACACCTCTAATGAATAATCATATTACTCATTAACATATTCACACATCTAATGAATAATCATATTACTCATTAACATATGCACACCTCTAATGAATAATCATATTGCTCATTAACATATTCACGCCTCTAATGAATAATCATATTACGCATTAACATATTCATGTTGTGCTGTTAGGACTGGACGCCTGTGCCTCACGCCTGTCAGGCACATGCTTGACCACTGAACTTCACCCGTGGACTACTGACAATTATTTTTGTTGTTTTGACACAGAAACTCATTCTTTAGCCTTGGCTGGCCCAGAACTCACTATGAAGACCAGGCTGGCCTCACCTTCACCTACCTCTGACTCTTGAGTGCTGGGATATTTTTTGTTTTTTCTTAATAATGAATTCTACTGACTAAAGATTTATTCTATATAGCATAAAGTGTATCAGTACCCATGATATTCTAATAAAGCTTAAAGGTATTTTATCTACATTTATTTTATACTGTAACAATTTTGGAGCAAACCTTAAAAAACTATTTTACCCAATTAAATTCACCTATTCAACCTCTTTTACCCTCTCAGATTCAAAAATCAAATACATTTTACTAAATTTACCAAATGTATATATTGAAAACAGCTTTCGACCCTGTTGGGACCCCGAGTCACTGTCATTCAGTAGGTGGCCATGCCAGGACGCAGTGCTCCCAAGGCGCCACTGTAGCTGGACAACCAATAATACAATGATTAAATGCCATGACCAACAAGGCATTAAGTGAGATCCTTGAGACGAATCACATGTGACCATCAATACCAATGTTGAGAGAGCTTTGCAAGAAGCGCCCTGGGAACACGAGGACAGGGAGGGCAATGAATTCCACCTGGAGAGGGGCAGCCTTGACAGACTAGCCTTGAGCTGGGGCTGAAAGGGGAGAGCAACCAGGCCTGGGTGAGTAGTGGACCATTAACCCAGGCACAGGCTGAGATGCCTATCACTCCTTAGTGAGGCACATGCCATGTTCTCTGAACAAAAACTTAAGACTCTCAACATCTGCTCCATATTAAGATTACAACCCTATAAATAGGAACAAGTATGGATTAAAGTGGGATGTTTATTTAAAACCCACTCAACAAAGACTGTTTTAAGACCTGATTCTTAAGATACTAAAACTTAGCCATTTAACTAAAACCTGTAATTTAAATAAATAGAAAATAATGCAAAATATAAATCACAATAACATAAAATATAAGCTCACTATACTTAGTTTTTCCATAAAAATATAACAAAAGGAACTCTTGCAAAAGATCACCTCCCTTCAAGAGGCAGATGGGGGAGAGCTTCCTGGTGGACCCAAGTATTCCTCCAACACTAGGAGAAACCTTTGTCTTTGTTCTAATTTGAATGGATCACTTGGGTCTCAGTTTTCATGACCTCCAGAGGACAAATCCTCAGGAGCTTACAGACTCTAACAGGACTATGACCATCATACTTGCTAAGAAGCACAGTAGGCCATTATACAAAAGCACCCCAGTACAGTGATTTTAATAATCTCCAAAATTACAGTTGCTGTAGTTGCTTTCAAGCTAAGCTGTAATTTGAAGTCTGAGGGGTAATGAAGAATGACGTAACTCGCTGGTTGTACCTCATGTGATGTGTTCTTTCTGTAGAATCCACTCTCCTGATAAGTAAACGACCACCTGCTATAAGAACAGCTTGTCTGACAAACCTGGACTTGCATGATTAAATAGACATGTATGTCCCCAGTGCTGGAGACCAAACCTGGGGCCTCAAGTGGAAAGCACATGTTTAAAGGTCAGCCCTGTGCTCCATAGCTGAGAGGTCAGGAGCTCTGAGGAACAGGGCTCTGTGGTGGCACACTTCCTCAAGCTCCATCTACCAGCAGGAACACAACCGGCCTTCAGGCAGAGATTTAGACAATGATGGTCAGGACAAGATATGTGTGTGTGTGTGTGTGTGTGTGTGTGTGTGTGTGTGTACAGGGGGAAAGAGTATGTGAGTGTGTGTGTAATACTTTGTTTGATAGAGTAGAATTTATAAGAGGAAGAATATAATTACTTGCCTTCCAAATTCCAATTTTCCTGTCATGCCTCTGCAGTAAAAGCTCATCTGCTATGTCTTTCATCCGTATCTAAAAGCAGAATCAATTATTTTATCAACATATTCAGAATTGCCAAAGTTTAAACTATTTAGTATTTTAACAGCTAAGAAATGAGGCAAAGGGTTAGATAGGAAAGTGTCACTCAAGATGAAGAGACTCAGACAGAAAGGAAAGCCCCTCAGGCAGTGTTTTGGGTGGCTCCTCATCTGTACCCATCACTAAGTGCGCTGCTCCAAAGGCAGGCAGCAGAGTGCATGTGAAATGGAAGCCGAGGACGTAATGACAGTGCCGTCTAGCCACTTTGTATTTCCCGTAAGTGATTTTTAGAAGAGACCCATGATTCACGGGAATACAGGAGGTGTAGCTGCCTTCCACACAAATGGGTTCCTCATTTATAGATGCAATAACCTCAGATGTGAAATATTCCGGTAAGAAAACTGAAGCTGTACTGAGAATATACAGGTGTTCGCCCCTTGTATTTATTTTTCCAGATGTACTTAGCATTTACAGTGTATTATGATTTTATAAGCCAGCTAAAGGTGATAGAAAGTGCAGCGGGAAATTATGTAATCATATGCAAACACAGCCTGATCAAAGGACTGAATCATCTTCAGGTTCTCAGTATTCTATAGGTCGTCTCTCGATACCAAGGGACAATTGTATTTGGGAGGCTTCTGATTATGAGTAATATCTCCCTTTTTTTAGGGTACTTACTACCTCTGTCAAATCTATGCTGTGTGTCTTTCCTTCATTATCCATAACAGATCTCCCTAGCAGCTGCTCTAAAAAGGTCAGGTCTGTAAATCAAAGCCATGCCACAGCTTGAGCCCTGAGCTCCAAGCTTGCTAGGCAAGCTCTCTACTACCAACCTTCCTGCCATGCTTGCATCTATGACAGCCACAGGTCAGGGGAAAGAGACCTGGTCTTTCCTGCTAGATTCCCAGTGCTATCTCTAACTACATATTTACCAAAGTTTGGATGCTAGTTCCTCTCCTAAGAATGTGAACTGCCCCAGCATCATTTATTAAGAATTCTCACTGCTTTGCTTCTTTGGCTGAAGACTGCTAGAATCAGTTTGTTTTGTTGGCCACCAAAGAATTCCAAGTCAGGAAATGACTACGAGTTATAATAACATGACTGTGGTAAAGATAATGAGAAACTGTGGTAAATAATATCAGTAAGGCAAATGTTATTTCGCTTGGGTTTGGAGAGAGAGCTGGAATTTCCCTAAAGTTAAAGACAGAGGAGTCGTTAGTTTTCTCAGAGCTTAGAAACATCTTGCCAAGTGAGTCAGCTCTTCCCAATACTATAAATTCTGTGTTCTCACTACACTTTTTTTCTAACTTGCTCAGCTCAAAAACTAAGGATATCTCCGGATAAGTAGATACAAGGAGTTTAACAAGTTGAAAATAAGATAGAGGAATATTTTTCTTATTTTTCTGATCAGTATTAATGACATATGTTTAAAAATCAAAATTATACAAGACAGGTTAACCTCTTTTATGTATACTTATGATTTTTTTTAGTACAGAATAGAGTTTATTCAGGGCATGGGGAGGGGAGTTAAGAGGATAGTAGAGACAGAGAAAGGGGTGGGGGAGGATGAGCACATGGAGAGAGGGGGAAGGGGATGGGGGAGGGGAGAAGGGAAGGGAAGAGCCCAAGAGATCAAGAGAACAAGAGACTACTGATGATGTTTTAAACAACCAAAGTCATATTTACTTCATATAAATAAAATCAAAGTAAAGAAAGTAACAAATATGCTTTACAAAATAAAAAGTAAAAGTCCTCCCTCTCTAAATTAATTCTTTAGAAAGAAGATCTTTCCAGAAGCTTTTTTTTTTTTTCATAAAACCAAACATCCAGAAAGACAGTGGATGGCTATGCATGTGTGTGGAGACTGGGCCATCTCCTGTGTGTTCTTCCACACTTTCTTAGTTTCTCAGTAAATAACACCTTTCATGTCAGTGTGTGTGGACAGGAGAATCTGAAGAGATTTCCATAGAACTGAGTTAACTGTTACATATCCTTCTCTGTGCTGCTGCAACAAATGGCCTTGTATATCTCTCTCATCTGTGTGAAAACTTAATAACATTCAAAATATCAATCGCCAGTCAGGCATGGTGGTGCAACACTGTGAGTTTCAGGCCAGCCTGGTCTACAGAATAAGTTCCAGGTTAGCCTGGTCTACAGAGTGAGTTTCAGGCCAGTCAAGCCTATGTGGAGAGATCCCTCTCAAAAACAAAAACCAAGCAAACAAACAAACAAACAAAAAAAACAAAACAAAACCAAATAATAACAACAATGTAAAACAAAACAAAACCCAGCTGCACTAGTAGATCCTATGAGACCCCCTTGCTAAGGAAACAAGCACACATTGTATTTGTTGTTACTCTTGAGAGAGGACATCATTTTCTAGCTGTATGTGGGCCAGTAACTTGTAGCAATCCTTCTGTGTCTGCCTCCAGAGTCCTGGGATTACAGGCATATGCTTCCATGCCTGGTGCAGTTGCTGTGGAGAGTCTTATTTTTCTAATGAGAAAAGGAAACTAATGAAATTCAGAAAGAAACCATGAATGTGGCAGATGTGGGGGTCAGAACGTGAGAAGCCCAACTCTACACTCTAACCACTACTCACTGAAGGATTCTGAGGGGTCAGCGGGTACGCGTGTTTCAGGTTTGGCTAGGTCCTGCTAATTGCTTCCCCAAGATTATACTGCTCATACCTTTATTTTCTGACGTGATGCAAACTGTTCACTTGAGAGAAACAGCGGCAGCCACACATTTTCTAGCCTATTCAAGACATACTTCTGGATTTCTATCAGCACAGATGCTTCGAGCTGCTCATGAAGAATCCGTCCCCAGCCACCACTAAGAAGCATTATCTAGAGAATTAAACCAAAACAGAACCACATGCTTTTTTGAAAAAAGCAAAACAATAAAATCCATTCATTCACTCATTCATGTTGGGCCTTTTGCCATTGTTTCCATTTTCCATATAACATCTTCTGGCTGTATCGTACAGAATCGTGGTGTGTGTAGTGACAGTTCATATGGCTTTGCTTCCTATGGAATACTGGGAAAAGCACAGGAATGAGGTTAGTGTTCTGTTTGTTTCTGTGTCAGGGCCTCAGCAGCATCAGGCAGGCGGTCTGGCCACTGAGCTTTACCCTTGGTTGTCTTGGTAACTACAACACAAGGCCAGTGAATGTCTCTCTGCTGAGTTCTGTTCTAGACCACCACCCAGCTGACCCACTTGAGGGGACAAAGGCATCAATCAGTTAAGTGAGATCCTGACCCAGACACCAAAGATGCTCTCAGAAGCACCAAACTTGTTTGTTGAGTTGTTGGGCAGTGGTAGGTGACTGTCCTGTAGGTGCTTCTCTGACATGAAGGGACACAGAGGACAGACACAGAGGTGGCAGTAGGCAGAAGAGAGCCTTGTATAGTAGCCGCTCCTCAGATCTGTGCAGACAGCAGCACAGACAGAGCTGGTGACTCTGTGGCTTGAATCTCCACAGCATCTCCATGTTTCACTCATGGCCATTTCTGAGTGCAAATCACTGCAGTTTCCATCTGTGTCTGTGTCTGTCAATCTTCTGTGTCTGTAAGTCTCCTGTGTCTGTCA